GCTCTCGCTTAAAGTCTTAACCAACGGGTGTGTTTCAAGCGATTGCCAAAAATGGCTTTTATTAGACTATTAAGAAGCCCAGCAGTGACATCGCTCAAGTAGATAATTTACCAAGCGTTCAGTGCATGGTAGTGACTGTTTTGTGTCATCATTTCTATACAACACACTTTGTCTGAGGCCGGTCACACATTGACTTAGGCCCTGATACTAAACATGCTTAGGCACATCCTTTCCCCACCGCAGGAGCAGCTCTGTGGATTTCACCACTGCTGTCATTCATAGAAATAAAGCTGAGAGTGGACACAGTTGGTTTCAGGAGCCGTATTTGTAAACAAAGGGTATGGCAGTACAGTCTGATGGGTGTCTTAGAGTGTTTTTCTAAGTTGTGTGTACTTTTCATTGCCTCATACTGAATGGGGCTGTGAAGATGATAACATAATCCTCCTTTAGGCTACATTGTGCCATCTCTGGGCAAACAGTGATTCCTGAGAGGTTTTGGCTGAGTTGTGCATTGCGTGTTTTGGACTTATTTACACTTTTGCGGCGTTATATGTACATGATCACAGTTTGTAATGGCCTTGTTGATTAAATTCTGCATTTGATAGAAGAACATAATTATTTGTTCCTAGGTCTGATGTACAGTTCAGTGTGTGATCTTCAATCTTATTCTAAGAATCCAAATGTGTAGTTTTTATCAGCTATGAAAATAATGGTCAAGCTGGGGTTGAGCTGAGAAAACAGCATAAAGAAACATAGAATAGTGTAGCTGCAAATAGTCTGAGGTGTGCCTTTTCCTGTTTAAACCTGTGTATGGCCCCAAGGAAGATATTTTTGGTGAACATGGCCCCTTGTTGTACTTAGATCTTGTTACCTAAGCTAAGGTAGAATGTCCCATGGATCCTTTCTTAAGTCTTAAATCAGAGGCATGTTTCTGTGCTTTGGTACGATGTCTTGGAGACCTTTGCTACAAGTGCTCCTCTTGTCCTGTCTCCCCTTGCCCAATGATTTTTCTAATTGTAGGACTAATTTAGGTAAAACTTGCGAGTTACTAAAGGATTCTCATCCAGACATCACTCTGAAGGATTAATGGAATTGATCACTCGCTTTTGGGGAAGGAAAGGAATTTGCTGTTAATTCTTTCAAGCAGAGGATGAGCCAACCAGCAATTTCAGAACTACAGAGTTTTCTAGGCCCAAAGAATATTTCTTCACTTCTGGGATGTTTGTTTGCAGTTTTCCAAGAGAATTGCTAGCTTTTCTTTCGATTTGTCTTGCTCACTTTCTAACTACAACTCCTTCAGTTTCATTTTCTTCCCCCGTACCTGCTGTGCCTTACTTCCTGTTTTTAAATACTCGTTGACATCTCTTTAACTCTTCTCTGTTTCTTCTCAGGTTGTGGAAACTACTCTGATTTTTTTTTTTCTTTTTTTTCTTCTTCCCCTCCTCTTCTGCTGTTGCTATCACAGGAACTTGCTGAAATCTCCTGGGTGATACCAGAGTGCTGCCTCTGTTGCCTTATGTACCAAACCATATGTACCCTTTACTGAGGAGGAGGAGATAGTTCCCCACATGCTTACAGTATGTGGTCCCAGGTCTGGTCTTTCTATTCCCACCAGCTTATTGCATTGAGTCACCAGTGACTGTGTTGGTGTTTCCACCTCCTGGGCACGAGGTGCTGTAGGCTTCCCAGTAAGGTTTGACAAGCAATTCTTTGCTGACAGTTGTTCCGTAGCTTTCCTTATCAATTGTCAATCATAGAAAATCCCAAGCAGGGGATTTTCTATGATGCATTCATACTGATGCTGTTAAGTAGAATTCATTTTTTCAGGAACTTTGTCATAGGCAGAGGAAATTCTGCTTCCCAAAAGTCTTTCGTGTCTTTTCTATACTTGTTTTGTGTCAGAAATGTGTGGGCGTTCAGACAAACTTAGAAAATGCTTTTCCTTTGGACCAAGCCATAACATGGGGTCTCCCTTGGGATCACTAAGAGCTGCTGATGCTGTCTTAAAGCTGTGAAGGGTGAAGCTGAACTTCAGATAGCAGTAATCTTCAGGTAGCAATAATAATAGTAATAATAATAATCCAGAAAAGGAAATGTGAGTGTTTTTAACTTTTCCATGTTAAAGAGGGGAGTGTAGGGTATTCTGTCTAATTTGAAGCACATCCTTCCAGTGCTTCTGACAATGGCTGCAGCTGCCTTGGTTATTTTTTATGAGCCAGACACAGGCTCCTCTGCTTCCAGGCTGCGCGTTGGAGCAGAGGCGTGGAGTGGCTCTAGCTTTCCCTGTCCTCTTCCTCCCTGGAGAGAGGGATGTGGCCTCCTCTGAGCCCAGGGGCAACTAGCAATAGGGCAGGTGGGCGCGAGGGAGGGAATATTTTGTGGAGAGCAACAACAGGACTGAGGAAGGTGACAGATTGGTAGCTTCTAGTGTGAAGTTGCAGGGGTCTATGGAAGCAGGAGTAAGATCTATGAGGATGTAGGGCTGTTGTCTTTCACATACCTTGATTAATGGAGTTGATTAAACTGGATTATTGTGCATTTAGGTTTGGTTTGGGGAGTTTATGGAAGATATTTTTTTCCCAGGCACACTCTAAATTTAGTGTCCTAGCTATTTTTTCCTGAAGTTGAGTATCTTCATTTTTTGGTTTGGTGATGTAATAACTTACTAGTTTATGGTTTTGTAATGTGCCAGTATAATGTAGTGTTCTGGAGCGAGGAGAAGAGCAAGAGAGAGAAAAAGGTTATGCAGTTATTACGTGCTTTGTGCTTTGTTTTTTTTTTTTATTTCTTCTGCAAAAAGCCACAGAATTGAAAAATGCACTGGTAAAGTGGGTTTAAATGGAGAGAATTTTCATCTATCCTCCCACACAAGCATTAGAAACCTTGTTTTTGCTGCATGAACGCTTGTATTTCAAAGTCAGCATCAGAGTTCCTAAGGCTAAATAAGGAGATGATTTAGCACATTTTCCTGATTATTGTGATTGTGTCTTTCCTCCAACAGTTATTTTGCTTCCCTATTTCTTTTGGCATTCCCCAAAATAGTTCTTCCAGGCGAACACCATAATTCTTGTCCTAACAGTAGTGAGTCTCATGCTCCCACCTGTTTTCACCTGCTTCTGTCAAGAATATTGGATGTCTGTCCCTTTTGAAAGGTGTCTGCAAGCCAAAATGAAATACCTCTACCACTTACTTGGAAAGAAATACAGTTTAACACTGCATACAACATCTTGTTGATTTTTGGGGGAAGTGGTGCCAATGTAACTAGGACAGCTCTCCTGAAGCCAAGTAGTACTTAGAATCCTCCTAGGCAAACCTGAGCACCTTTCAGCCCACCTGGCACTGGCAATTAAGTGATGGGATCACAGTGTCTTTCACTTCTTTCTTGGCCATGCTGAATAGTACAGTGATATGATTCTAGTAATCTGTTCGCTCTTAAAAAAAAAAAAAAAAAAAAGATTCCACTACTTGGTGGCACCTGTAATAGCATGGGTGTGTGTGTTATTTGCATAAATTCTTAAAACAGGAAGATGGCTTTGCTGTCTGAGCCATTGGAGCCTGAGGCTCTGCCTGGAAAGTGCGCTGGATGGCATGAGGCTCCTGAGATTGCCAAGAGAGCGAGTTAAGCTCTCGAACTTGGGGTTCATAGCTGGTGTAAAGTGTCAGCCTGTGCAGCGTAGCTGCTGGAAAATGACTGGTAAATCTGGACTGAGCTAGTTTAAAAAAAAAAAAAATGCTGTGGGGAGTCCCTAGGGCCTGCAGAGAAACCATTCATGTTTAATGTACTTTTTCCTGCCATACAGTTAAACTCATACAGTGCTTAAATGCCTCACAATGATGAAAGTCTGCT